GTAAGTAAAAGAAAGAGTTCAAAGCCCACCCACGACCCCCACTTTGTTGCACTTGCAACACCATCACTTGACAAGACACCAGATATGATGAAACGAAATGGCTATTTTTGTAGTGATGTTATAACATACATATGTTATAATTCTCAATAAATCTCTCTGTCTCTGTCTCTCTATCTGTCTGTCTGTCTGTCTGTCTGTCTGTCTCTCTCTCTCTCTCTCTCTCTCTCTCTCTATATATATATATATATATATATATATATATATATATAATGTGTGTGTGTGTGTGTACACATTTATGTATATAATGTTATCGGTTTAAGAAATTTTTGCCTTGGTTTACATATTTGGATAATTTTGTAAATGTTTATAAATTTCATAAATGGTCACCCATGTAAAATTCACTTTATATTGAAAATATTTTGTCACAGTGCATTTATTTCCGAAAATCTCAACTTGGAGTGATGACGCCAAAACAAAAAAACAAACTATCTTCCAATTTGCTTCCTTGAAAGAAAAATTAGCATTTTACCTTGACTATTCTGTAGTGTTGTAAATAACAAAACAAATATATCTTGTGATACTTTGTTTCCCGAGGCCATTTGAGGTTATTCCTTTCAACTTGAAAGAAAACAAATAATCAAATAATAAAATTTATTTAAAATTTGTAGAGCCATGTTTGAAGATTATTTATTTCTTCGCTTTTCACATGCCCACACAATATATGTGCATGTGTGTGTGAGAGAGAGAGCCATGTTTGAAGATTATATATTTCTTCGCTTTTCACTGGAACACACAATATATATAATATGTATATGTGTGTGTGTGTGGTGGCACGGAGAAGGAATTGGTATAATATCGGATTGGAATCGAATTCCAGTTGAGTTCATTATATTCGCTTACGTACTAATAACCTTACGAAATATATCAATCCATCCCTTCTTACCCCTAGCTGTGGGTAAATAGCAGGACAGACCGAGCCCTATAGCTTTGGGGAAGTGAACGGTCTAAGAGAAGGACAATTATGAATTAAAAATCTGCAGATTGTCGTTTGGGGACCTTATGGCATACTGTGCAACAGTTCCCCGTATTCGACTATTCCCAAAAAGAATAGTTCGACACAAGTCTTCGTCACAATAATCAAATATATGCGGCTAGGTCTGGCTGTTGGTTCTAAGAACTGATCTGCTTGACCCTCATAAGTCGAAAACGATAGCAGAGTCCAGTGTATATATATATATATATATATATATATATATATATATATATATATATATATACTGGATATATATAACAGATAAAGAAATCAACCTATTACTCATTGACAGAAAATTTCACAGAGCTTTACTTTAACCCAGCCTATATTAATGAAAGTTTTCTGCCATATATATATATATATATATATATATATATATATATATATATATATATATATATATATAAGTGAACGTTGAAGTCATGACTCAGTGGCTTGACTTCAATGTTCACTTTTATATTTACATACGCTCTATCTCTGATATTGAGCACTTTATCCCATAAATATAGCACACCTAAAAACTATACTTCTTCATATATATATATATATATATATATATATATATATATATATATATATATATATTACAATGAATCATTCATATAAAACTAGATTAGTAAAAGTTAATGATTTAAAATGGCGAATTCCCTTTGTTAACAATGTTGGCGAAGGATTACGCCAATTTAAATCATTAACTTTACTGATCTAGTTTTTGTATGAATGATTCATTGTAATATAAATTGAACTGCACTACATACTTGATATATATATATATATATATATATATATATATATATATATATATATATATATATATGAGCATTATGAGTAAATTGAATTGAGTTCTCCGAACAGCTGGCGTATTTCGTATAGAGAAAAACGTTAAGATTCTGCCGATGGCCTAGCGGTAACATATCTGACTGATGTTTCGATCCCGGTCTGAAGTAATCGGACGTCCAGCCACACTGACCGAAACAGTAATACAGCGAGTAAGTGATGACTATATATATATATATATATATATATATATACAGGAATCGGATTGTTGAGTTAGTTAAGTGCAAGTACCCTTGAGAAGGCATGAATCCATCTCTTTTCTCGACGGCTATGGATAAATAGGAGAACAGATTGGGTTCAACAGCATCGGGTGGCAAACCGTCTCGGAGAAGGACAACTCTGAATTCAAAAACTTTGCACCTGGTCTCTGTATTCAGTTCTTCCAAAAAGTGTGGTTAGTTCTGCCCAAGCCATCGCCACTAGAATCAAATCATATATGCCCTAGTCTAGTTGTTTGTCTTAAGATTTTTGCTGCTTAACCCATATCAGTACTGACATAAGGAAAATCTAGACATCCCTTGTCAATTTAAGTAGAATATTCTGTAACCATGGAAACGTGATTTTAGCTGTGTCTTTAAAACCCAGTAATTTTAAAAGTTACTCCAAAATTCGCTTGAAGATGAAATGGAACTAATGCTTTTAATTTAATTGCAAAATTAAATTCGGGGTTTTTAGCTTCTATTTTTGAAACATGGTTGGAACTGTGTAGCGGAAAAAAACATATTTTAAATCAATTAATTTATAATATTAATGCTCAGTAAATTTACATTGAGCACTATTTTGTAAAAATAAAAATATCTATAAGAACACCGGATTTTATATCTTACTGTTCTTTCTTTTTATTTATATACATATATATATATATATTTGTGATATATATTTTGTATTTTTCGTTCTTAAACTGAATGAAATATTTTTGATGCTAATATAATTCTTTATCTCTTGTCATGAAGAAAACCTTCTTGCACGAATATAAATTACAGAATATTCTGTTTGTATTTTTTAGGTTAAAAATAACTACTGATGACATCATTGGAACATTATAGAATATTCCACTTGAATAATTTGAACTATTAAAGAAATTTAAAAATCTGAAATTTGTATTGTCCGAATACTCTTTTCACCCATTAAAATAGATAAAAGGGATTTATTTTTATTAGATCAAAAGTTTTCTGTTTTTTATGCATATTCAGTTATTATGCATCTGTGTACAGTTAATTATATGAAAAGTATGTTTACTCATAAGTTGGATTAATTAAAAGTTTTGTGTACGAAAATTTGTTTCCCGTATTATATATACATATATATATTATGAAATGGACAAAGTATGTATTCTTTTCATAGATACAAATATTTAAGTAAATGCTCTGTTTATAATAAACAGAATTAAACAACATTTACCGGCCTGAATGTCCGAGAAATTCTCATAGAAAATATTCGTTCTCCGACAGGATTCGAACCTGTATCCTATACGGAATGGTCATTTAGTTTGACGTGCATTTAACCGATTTGGCCACAGAGGAGAGTTCGGTTGGCAAGGTCAAATTTACTGTATTTGAACTACAGTCTTCCACGATTCTCTCACGTACATTCGTATCTGCTCAATGCGTATCAAATGTAAACAAATGACGTCACATATTATGAAATGGACAAAGTCCGACAATTATTTTAACACATTTTTCTGTTTATATATTCTTTCCCCGGAAAAGATCTCGGACATTCAGGCTGGTAAATGTTATTAATACTGTTTATTATAAAACAGAGCATTTACTTAAATATGTTTATCTATAAAAAGAATGTATAAACATAAAAATGTTTTAAAATACATATATATATATATATATATATATATATATATATACATACATACACACACATTCACATATATATATATATATACACACATATATATATATATATATAGAAATATATGTTATATATATATATATATATATATATATATATATATATATATATATAAGATGGTTATATATATAACTTTCATTAATGACATTGCCGATGACATCAGCTCCAAACTTGACATCTACGCTGACGACACAACCATTTACTCCTGCCTCGATAGTAAGGCTGATCGCTCTAACAAGGTCAAAATGGCTGCCGATGACGAAAACGACATTAAGTCCTACACTAATCATCTGAGAGACCTCTCTCTCTGCCTTCCATCAGCATGGCTGATGCTAACCTCCAGGAAAGTGTCTTTTTGCACCTTCTCGGGCTAACGTTCTCAGCTGACATGAAGTGGAAAGACTATATTGAATCCATTGCTAGGTCAGCTAAGAAAGTCCGTTCACTCTATCGTGTGTGACAATTTTTCTCTCCAGAATCTATCTTACATATCTATAAGTCTACTATTCGTCCACGCTTAGAATGTTGCTGTCACATATCGTCCGGTGCCCCTCCTATTTACCTTGAGCTCTTTGATAAAATCCAAAGAAGAATCTGTAATATTATTTATCTTAGTCTAGTGGCTCGCTCTAAGATTGCCGTTCTATGTTTTTTAGAATTACTTTCATGGGAATTGTTCGGACGAGCTCTTTGCTATGATACCTAGACTTTATGAATTTAAGTGCAGTATTAAACTGGCGTCGAGATCTCATCAATTTGCAGTTGAGCTGGCAATATTTAGCAGTAAGTTCTATACTAAGGAGTTTTTTTTTCTCGCACTTTTCGCTTGTGGAACATCCTTCCAGCTGCATGTTTTCCAGCCAACTGTAATTTGCAAAAATTTAAATGCAATGTCAATCGCTATCTACTGTCCTGATTACTCTTTTGTCTTCCCGCTCATTATTAATGTTTCTGTTCCTAATTCTACCATACCCTGTAACCCCTAGCATCTTAGTGGCTTTGCTACCTTGCATTTTATGATACCGATTAAAATTATAATTATATATATATATATATATATATATATATATATATATATATATACGTGTTTGGATGAAGGCTAACTAATGTTCTTGAGTAATTTTTTTTTTCTTCTGTTCTAAGCATCTTTCTTGTGTCCCGGAGAAAAAAACTGAGCAGACATTATCCAATGTTTTGTGAGCGTTTTCGGTTATAAAAGAATAATAACTTTGTATATATTCTATTGTATTTCTTTGGCGGTTTTATGAGCATCGTGTATTCTCGTGTCTGTGGGTATGTGTCGGTTTCTTCAACTATCGCGTCTTCTCGCGTCTGTTTTTAGTTTGCTGTCTTTTTTGTTTCTTTATTACTTGTGATATATATTTAGTATTTTTTGTTCTTAAACTGAATGAAATATTTTTGATGCTAGTGTCTAAAATACTGTCACAGACTTTATCAGCATCGACTAAGTGTCACTATATAGGTAGTTACGTATATATAGGTTTTATTAATGTAATATGAAGCTGAAATCTTCGATCAATAATATCCGATCTTCCTCAAAGAAATATAAGAAAATTATGCATTTTTAATGATCAGGTCAACAGTCAATGCCGTAATAAAGAAAACAGAAGCCGATCTTTTTAGCCCAGACAATGGGAAACTGAAATATCGACCTAACATTGTGGGTGACAGCTGCGTCTAATTCATGACATAAATTGTAAATTTTACTTTTCGATTCCTTTTGATGGAATCTTCTTCTGTGTGACACGTCCCTTCAGGACATAAGTGATCAAGGCTCTCCACAACTTTCTTTCTCGTTTGGCATTTAGCATTTTTCTCAAATTGCTAAGGCCGCCAATATATTCACACAGGTTAGCCTGGTAAGTGGTCCGTTGCCTTCTACTACCTTTTGCCCTCAATTTGCCCCGTGAGGATTAAATTTTCCAAGCCCTCCTTCCTTATTATGGGTCGGGAGAATTTCAGCTGTCTTTTTCTGATTCTGACTAGAAGTGTTCTTTCTGTTGCTATTCGCTTCAAGACTTTCTTTTTGCTTACTCGATCTATCCATGAAATTCCCAGTATCCTTCTGTAGAACCGCATTCTTTCTGCCTCTAGTTTTTTTTTCCTCGTCCTTGGGGCGATTGTCCAACAGTCACTGACATATAAGAGGGTGGAAAACATATAGCAATCCGGCACACGTTTCTTTGTTTCTAATGATTTTTTTCCATTTCTCAGCACCTTGCTTAGCTGTCTAGGAGACCCTGTACTTTCCTTTCCGAGTCGGTCATCAACACAGTGTTATCTGCGTATCTTATACTTTTGAGATTATGCCAACCGTTAATAAATCATGGTAAGGGTCTCCAGTCCCGTTAGGATAACATCGCTCCAAAAGTCGTTCCAAAATGCTTTTTGTTTTGTTTTTTCTCTGGGCCGCAATTTTGGATTTAAAATTTGTTCTTGACTCACCAAAATTTATATGATAAAAAGTACATTTGAAAATTAAAAAAAAAAAAGCAGAGAGAGGGTTCAAGGGATATAAGCACGGATTTGAAGTCAGAACATTATCATTGATAACTCTCACCTCCAATTTGCGGAGCCTAGTCATTATATTCTTAATAATTGATATAATGCACAAATATCACAGTGATAAAATTTGTCAATAATTATTTTTTAACTATTTATACTGGGACCCATGCATGCCATTATAAGTAATACATAATAATATTTTAAATTTTGAAATCATTTATTTTTGGGATATGAATTTTTTGAAACTATTTCTAAATCTTTGATTGACTTTCAGTCACTACGCCTCACCTGCTATCCTCTTCCGCCTCACCTGCTATACTCTTCCGCCTCACCTACTATCCTTTTTCCGATCCGCCTGCTGTTCTCTTCCCGCTCACCTACTATCCTCTGCCGCCTCTCCTGCTGTCCTCTTCCTGCTCACCTAATATCGTCTTCCGCCTCACCTGCTAACCTCTTCCGCCTCAACTACTATCCTCTCCCGCCTCACCTACTATTCACTTCCGCCTCACCTGCTATCCTCTCCCGCCTCACCTACTTTCCTCTCCCGCCTCACCTACTATCCTCTTCCACCTCACCTGCTAGCATCTTCTGCCTCACCTACTATCTTCTTCCGCCTCACCTGCTATCCTCTCCCGCCTCACCTACTATCCTCTTCCGCCTCACCTGCTATCCTCTTCCGCCTCACCTACTATCCTCTTCCGCCTCACCTGCTATCCTCTTCCGCCTCACCTACTATCTTCTCCCGCCTTACCTGCTAGCCTCTTCTGCCTCACCTACTATCTTCTTCCGCCTCACCTGCTATCCTCTTGCGCTTCATCTACTATCCTCTTCCGATCCGCCTGCTGTTCTCTTCCCGCCTCACCTACTATCCTCTTCCGCCTCACCTGCTATCCTCTCCCGCCTCACCTGCTAGCCTCTTCCGCCTCACCTGCTAACCTCTTCCGCCTCAACTACTATCCTCTCACGCCTCACCTACTATCCTCTTCCGCCTCACCTGCTATCCTCTTCCGCCTCACCTACTATCCTCTCCCGCCTCACCTACTATCCTCTTCCGCCTCACCCGCTATCCTCTTCCGCCTCACCTACTATCTTCTTCCGCCTCACCTGCTATCCTCTTCCGCCTCACCTACTATCCGCTTCCACCTCACCTACTTTCCTCTCCTGCCTCACCTACTATCCTCTCCCGCCTTACCTGCTATCCTCTTTCGCCTCACCTACTATCTTCTTCCGCCTCACCTGCTATCCTCTTGCGCTTCACCTATGAGGCGCACCCCACCGTTTGGGATCCATTGTAGTTGAATTTGTATAAATTTGGGGAGAAAACGAAATAGGAATTATTAAATCTTAAAATTGGTCCAGTGCCATTCAGTTGGAATCTATTCATGTTTATTGCTACCAGATTTGTATAAAAATTACTTTGAGTAATTCGTTAAAGAAAAAATGTATTCCTTAAAGAAAATAATAATGTTATTCTTTAAATAAAATTATTAGAATGTTATTTGAATTCAAAATTTTCAAACTTTTAAAACTGTATTTCTACAATTTTCTTTCGGACATTTGGAAAACGGCAACATCAAATCCCCCAAGAATTTGTTTACCTCGGCAGCAACATCCAGTCAACGGGAAGAGACATCAAAATCGGCAAAAGAAAGGCCTGAGCACCATCTGGACGTCTTCACTCTCTGACAATCTTAAGAGGGACTTCTTTAAGGCCACAGAAAGAATCTGTCTTGCTCTACGGCTCAACAATATGGACACTGACGAAACAGCAAGAAACATCACTTGACGGAACAGACACAAGGATGTTACGATTTGCATTGGAAATCAGCTGGGAGAAACACCCAACACAGAAACGCCGGCATGGACACCTTCCTCCTAAGTTCCGCTAAGAGAGAAAGAGAAGTCTTCGGCTAGTTGGTCACTCCTGGAGGAGTAAGTCAGAACTTGTGAGTGACGCCCTCCTAGGGAACCCATTGCGCGGAAAAAGATCGGTTGGGGAAGACCACATCACACTTACATTGACCAACCTGTATATGACTCTGGATGCCATCTGGAGGACCTACCGACAGCGATGCCTGACAGAGATGGTTGGAAGGAACGAGTCAGGAGAACCAAGAAGAATTCTCGATCTGATGATGATGATGATGATGATGATGAATATACTTTTGTTATTATCAAAACGTACGTGGATTTTTAAGGATTCTGTGTCATCATCATATATATATATATATATATATATATATATATATATATATATATATATATATATGCGTGTGTGCGTGTGTGTGTGTGTATTGTTGTAATAAGAAAGAACAGTTAGATCAATAATCAAAAATTCTTTAGTATTTATGTTTTTATTTTTTTTTAAATCATTGCTCGATATAGAAGTAGAGCTTAAATAATATTTTTTTTACCTGTCTATATTTCTGAGATAAAGTATTATGTACATTATTTACATTATTCGGACTATTGTCCTCATCTTTGTCGCCATATTTATACGATCCTTCAGTATCTGTCTATATTTCTGAGATGAGGTATTATGTACACTATTTACATTATTCGGACTATTGTCCTCATCTTTGTCGCCATATTTATCCGATCCTTCAGTATCTGTCTATATTTCTGAGATGAAGTATTATGTACATTATTTACATTATTCGGACTATTGTCCTCATCTTTGTCGCCATATTTATACGATCCTTCAGTATCTGTCTATATTTCTGAGATGAGGTATTATGTACACTATTTACATTATTCGGACTATTGTCCTCATCTTTGTCGCCATATTTATCCGATCCTTCAGTATTCTATATTTCTGAGATGAAGTATTATGTACATTATTTACATTATTCGGACTATTGTCCTCATCTTTGTCATATTTATACGATCCTTCAGTATCTGTCTATATTTCTGAGATGAGGTATTATGTACACTATTTACATTATTCGGGCTATTGTCCTCATCTTTGTCGCCATATTTATCCGATCCTTCAGTATCTGTCTATATTTCTGAGATGAAGTATTATGTACATTATTTATATTATTCGGACTATTGTCCTCATCTTTGTCGCCATATTTATCTGATCCTTCAGTATCTGTCTATATTTCTGAGATGAGGTATTATGTACACTATTTACATTATTCGGATTATTGTCCTCATCTTTGTCGCCATATTTATTACAATGTTCCGGCCGTTGTACGCTCCGGCCTTCTTCAGGTAGTTGGAATGTCGAACTGAACCCTTTATTTTGCTCACTGGGGTAGACTGTTCTAGTTTCACGTGCCATATTTAATGGATGTCAGTTATCAGTTATCTCCTGTTAATCCCCCTCTCCAAGTTCTCCACTGCCTTAATCGGCAAAAAGGGGTTACTGGCGGCTCACAAAACTTTCAACCCTTTTCTGCACAAACTCAGACTTCCGAATAGAAGATGCCAAGGAGTTTTCTCATGCATTTGTTCTCAAATGCTTGGATCCATCTCTCTGTACAAATCGCTGGTAGTCTTTATTCTCCTATATGGATGTGAAACGTTAGCAGAAACAGAGAGAAGGATGTAAATAATGTTGACTCATTATCCTAGAAATTCAGACAATAAGTCTTAACTTGTTCAAATTTAATCGATTAGATTATCTCAGCATGAATTTCAGGCTAGTTTATCTTTCATCTTATTTTTGTTGCTTTTTATTTATTCTCTCAGAGATTGAAGTAGCTAGATTAAAAAATGAAACAGTTTTTTATTTTGCTTTTGATAAGCCGTGTGAATAAAACATTCTTCATTCTGTTATACTGATTTATTTATTATCTGTCTATATTTCTGAGATGAGGTATTATGTACACTATTTACATTATTCGGACTATTGTCCTCATCTTTGTCGCCATATTTATTACAACGTTTCGGCCGCTGTACGCCCCGGCCTTCTTCAGGTGGTTGGAATGTCGAACTTTTTTAAATATCATTCTATCGCGAAACAGAAATTTATATATATATATATATATATATATGTGTGTGTGTGTGTGTGTGTGTGTAAAAACGAATGACAAAGTGGAAAAACAGGAAAATCTATGAAAATGGGGTTTAAATAAAAGATTATATGAACACAAAACAGAACACTCAATGCATTTGCGGCTCACTGTAATGTGTTAGACCATATTGTTTATTTAGAAAATGCTACTTTAATTGAAAACATTTACTGAGTAGAAAATGTATAGAAAGCGCTTTAATCGCTAGATCTTCTACCATAAATTTACGTTGATTGCTTTATAATCCAACATTATTTTTATTACTATAAACGTTATTTTTCGTGGCTACGTGTGACTGGCTAGACATCCTTTAAAAATGAATTGGCATTTATCGGCCTGAATAAGAGAAAGACATTATGAAAATATGCCTTCCGGCTGAAATTGAACATGCATTGCCTGTATTCCTGTACTATACCTTTAATTTGAGGTCTCTCCTGGCGAAGCTGTTAATTTATTTTTTACTATGAATTGATAAATCTAGTTACAATCTCTATCTATAAAAGGCAGGATGTGTGTGTGTGTGTGTGTAACGAATGCACGGCCGCAATTTTTGACGGATTTGCACCAAAATTTACGTGCACATGCTCCAAGTAAGCGGAAAGGCCAAGACCGACGTTGCATTTCCCAACTCCCATCGATAGTGGAAATAATCGATTTTTTCATGCTTCTACGGCAGTTTTCATGTAGTTTGCGGCCATTTTCTACTGGCCAGAGTGATAGCCCATAGCTGGCTGCCACGAATAGACAGGAAGATTCTATTGGCCAGCGTGAGAGCCAACATGAATGTTAACTAGCATGATAGCATGCAAAAAAAAATCGATAGCTGTATTCTTCAGAAGTGTGAAAAATTTAAATCTGCATGGTACTTTACTCCAATTGGCTTATTCGCTTGCTTAAACTCAACGATGATTCTGATTCCGCAGAAGTGGGTTGGGTGTGAAAAAGTATTTGTTGTTAACATTCTTTTTTCATTCAGTTTTTCCAGTTACGAGTCCTTTTTTAAAGCTGATCGTTTTGTGTGCATTTTGTTTAGTTCTTTTTTCGTAACAGATTTAATGTTTAGTATAGAGCTTAGAAAAAAATCGCAGTGTGAGATAGGCAAGAAGTAAGGCATGTAGCAACATCAGCACGGCAAAGGGAACACCTTTAAAGGCAAGGAAGGGCAAAAACATTTTAAGTCAAGTGATAGCGATTGCTGCATGAGTCGTACTATTTTTGAATCAAGCACGGGCAACGCCGGGCCATGCTGCTATTCTTCTTATAAAGATGCAAGGAAACAATACGGTTCATAGAAAGGTTTCCGACATTTTTGACAAAATATTTAATATAAAGTTCACATGTTCATCATTTAGTCGTCAAGGTACTTGCTTTTGTAATGCGGTCCTGCTGAGAATGCCATGGACAGAACACACGAGAAACGAGGAAGTACTAAATAAATGGATACTAGAAATACACACTTAAAATCAGAATAAGATACTTAAATGTACACTATTTACATTAATCGGACTATCGTCCTCGTTTGGGGAGTTTTTATTAATACATAATGTTTGTAATTTATATATATATATATATATATATATATATATATATATATATATATATATATTTTATTTTTTCTGTACACTACATTATTCGGACTGTATAGGAGGCACGGTGGAGTAATGGACAGCGGATTGGATGAGTTCGAATTCAGTCGAATCCATTTCTTTCACTGACATGCTAATACCCTTGGGAAAGATGTGGATCCTCTTCTTCTCCCTCCAGCTATGGGTTAAATAGCAGAACAGACTGGGTTCTATAGTCTCTGATGGCAACAGGTCTAGGAGAAGGACAACTCTCAATTCAAAACCTGCGGAGGGTCGTTTGAGGACCTTGTGGCACGTAGTGCAGCAGG